TGAATAGAGCATCACGATCAGTTTATTTTCCGGCACACCCTGATTTGCGAGTAATCATTAGATAACTAGACTCATATTTACACCACTCGTCCCGCGCGGGAAAATTCCAGGAGGGGAGAAGAATTTCACAATGTGTAATCACGATCTGGATTTTGATTGTTACTGGTCTGTAGAAAAAACTATTCGAATAAATAACAGCTCAAAACAATATCGGGAAGATAAAAGAAAATCAGAGAAAATATTATCACCCGAACGATAAGAACAAAGATTAGGCACTGTTTACAATTATCCGTTATGCAACACAAGATCAGTTCCGAATATACCATCATTACACATAGAAACACGCACTAAAGAACAAGTTCGCTTGTAGTGATTCATTTACAGATTAATATATCACAATGTATGTCAAAAGTTTAGTATGGAGGAGAAATCATGATAAAACGGAAAGAGAAATGATCAACGTTCCAGTTTCACGATCGGATATTGCTCACACTTCAGTCGTCACACAGGTGCATTGGTTTGGGCCCTCAGGGACTGGTGGTAGGGTGTGTGTTGTGACTGTGTCGTGTGTAAACCGTGGAAGACCGAGTGTTCTCAGGAATTGTTTTGGAGAACATATGTGTGGGGTGGAGGATTATGTAGGCGGATTTCAATCGCTTTCGCTGTGGCCTGAATGGGACTCCTGCGAACTAAGTAGACTGGGTCGAAACACCTTAGCCACATCAACCACGTGGTTTGACTGCACTAGGTGTGAAGTGATCGAGCTATTGATAGTCCTGATCGCTCCACTATTCTATCATGCCGAGTAGTGCTCACAGACTAGTTCAGATAGGCGTCAGCTCGTGCCCTCAGTCTAACTTGTCTCACAGGAACAAATAAAAAAGTACACACAGAAAGAAATTGCAAAAACAGGCAATTTATCTTTCAGTTAAAAGCATAAAAGTGCCCAGAGGATGAACAGGATGCGAAGTTTTGCTGTGAGGAATGCTTTTTCGACGGCTGTATTCAATTTACGTGTCACAATATCGGCAGTTGTGTTGCCCTTAGTATGTAAACCAGATTTTTTTCATAACGGTGGTAATCTTTTTTGGTATCCTGTGATACCTCGAAATGTTGTCCACAAAGGGATCAAAGTGTAAGTAACATCCGGTTATGAAATTGGAGTGTTAATTATTTCCTTTACATTTAGTCGTGATTTCCCTTCCCCCGCCCCTATAAACATTTTGACATTGTGATATATAAGGTATCCATAAGTTTCCAAGACATTCATTGCCAGTTGTCCATGGGTAAGGAGGAAGAGAGTAACCGGCGAGTCCTCCGAGATCTTCGACTCGAAAGTCAAACCTATCAAGTGAAAGAGCGAATCTCGGAGTCTGCAATTCAGCTTAGTGGATCATTGTATTGTATTCAAGTTTTAGCGAGTTATATATACAAGCTTTCAGCCAAAAAAAATAGACCACCGTTACAATTCTGGTAAAAACGGGGGGGGGGAGTGGG